AATATAGACAGATGATAGATGATGGAAGGAAGATTATAATGAGAGCGAGAGAGTATGTGAAGGAAGTCCTGCCTTAGGGATCCTGCCTAGGCCACCACAGGTGTCCCCCATACGAGTGACGTCGAGCTGGCCATGCCCACCCCAGCCCCCCTAAAAGTCAAACAACCCTGATGTGGCCCTCAATGAAATGGAGTTTGACACCCCTGGGCTATAGGAACAGAAAGGGGTGGCCAAATCAAGATTGGTAGAGAAATCCAGGCAGGGGTCACCTTCTCACCGCAGAGGGAAGCATGCTGGAAGTCACCTTCAAGGATCAGAGAGTGTGAAAAGCAAAAACAAACACGAGTGGTGCAAACTTTGGAGGAAGACACCTGTCCATCATGCCCGGCCTACATGTCTACGGAGATTCTCAGCCATCCAGGTCATGCTTGTCCCAAAGATTCCTTTTCAAAAGACAACTGGACTTCATTGTCATTTCCTTGAAGAAGCTTCTTCAATTTCTTGGAATGAGAAGTGAAATGTCTTCAAGAAGTTTGCCTTTTGTAAAAAAGCATCTTTGGAACATACCTGGCCTACATTTTTTTGACTCTACCTTCTCCTGCAAAGAACCTGGTTTGTTGCAGGTCTCGTTTTTGGTCCCTCAACCTTCAAGATCTTCATCAATCACAATGGAAGAACTGACAGTTCTCAACCCAAAATTAGCTCCTTGCTTCATATTTATCTATTTGTTTGTTTGTTTGTTTATATTTTTATTGTAAGAATACAACACGGTGCAGCCATTCTGGCTTTACAATTGTTATACATATATAAATGTTACTTCACCATTTACAGTCATCTTGTTTAATACATTGTTTACTAATTATTCTGATCATCATACCTACTTATGTTCTGACCTTGCCTCTTTCTATGCAACCACTGATAGAATTTATTCCATGTTTCATAGTACTCAGATTCCCCCTTGTTTTTTAATTCTAGGGTTTACCTGTCCGATTCTGCACAGGACATAATTTTCCTTATCATCTCTGTTTCTGGCGGTAGCCTTTCCTTCTTCCAGTATTGCACATATATTATTCTAGCCCCCATCAACACATGTACTATTAGCTAATTTAAAACAACAACAACAGTGTTTTATTTTTTCACATTTCAAAAACATCTTTTTAGTGAACATGGTCTTGATTGCATATTCATCTTTTACATTTAGTTTCATATCTTATCATTACTTTACATATTTTCTATTAATTTTTTCAAGTACTTTTCTCAAACTTTATATATTTTCTATTCATTTCTAAACCTATTTCTTTTAACTTTAAATAATTCTCATATCTTCATATTCATTGTGCTTTATACTTTTATCTGTCAGGTTTGCAACTTCATCACATATTCTTATTTCATCGTTTCAAAAATTCCATCTCAATTCAAACATTTCAAAAAAGTTTCTCCTATAATTACCAATTAGAGTGTCCCACCCCTATACCTTATATATCATTTGGTTAACTCTTTAATTCCCAAATTTAGCTTTTTAATTATCACCTAAAGATTAATAACAATAATCTCCTAGCAACTACACAACACCTATGCCTTTTAAGTCAGATTCCGCATGGCACTTTCCCCTTCAATTACATTAAATCATTTATAATTTCAAAAAGAAAAATTAGTCTATTCAATTAATCATAAAAACTGATATTAATCTCATTACAGCAATCCTCATAATTCATTTCAACTATATTCTTGAATTCATTAAACATAGTTAATAAACTTATCATAGTTTCTCTTTTTCACATTTATTCCATTTATATCTCTATATAGTTTTAACAGAGAACAAGTATTCTAATAACAAGTATTTTCCTACTTTCTAAGTAATTTATTGTACTATTAGATAAATTAAATATTTCTTATATCTTTCTGGTATTATTCCTAGGAGAAAAAATTCCGGCTTAAATGGAATACACTCTCCCACCATTTGTTCTTGTATCAATCTCCAATACTTTTTTTGCAGCATTGCAGGTCCACCACATGTGGAAGAATGTGTCTTTGCACTTCCAACAATTTGGAGATAATGTGCTCCTTGTTGCCCAAGTCTCACCTTCTCGCTCTTTAATCTCTGCAGGTCCCCCGAGCAAATCAAAATTCCATCTTCGGACAACTGCATCGAGCCGATTTCCCCTCCCGAGGGCAACGGAGAAGCCGAGCGTGTCCGAAACAGCACCTACCCCATCCTGTACCGTGAGGGCGAGCAGCTGGAGCTGAGGTAAGGAGCCCGAGTGGGCAGCGTAGCAAGGCAATGGCGTGGCTCAGAGGGTCAGCTGCAAAAAGACTCCTTGGGTGTTCCCTTCCACCCTGCAGAGGCTGCACCCGATCCCCGGGAAACAGCGTCCAGCCGCCGGCCTTCTTCAGCAAACTGACAGAGAGCAATTCCGCCATGGTGAAATCCAAGAAGCAGGAAATCATCAAAAAACTCAGCACGAGCAACCGGAATGAGGCGGAATACAGTGAGAATTTCACTTGACTCTTTTTGTCTGTCTTTCTGTCTCTGTCATCTATCTATCTAATCTATTATCTATCATCTATACCATCATCTTTCTCAGTCCATCATCTATCATCTGTCTATATTTATCTGTCTACCTATATCTATCTATCTATCTTTCTATCTATCCAGCATCCATCCATCTATCCACCCACCCATCTATAGCTATCATGATCTGTCTATATCTTCTATCCAGCTCCTTCCTTCCTTCCTTCCTTCCTTCCTTCCTTCCTTCCTTCCTTCCTTCCTTCCTTCCTTCCCTGTTTATATCTATCTAGCTATCATCTAGCTATCTAGCTATCCAGCATCCATCCATCTATCCACCCACCCATCAATAGCTATCATGGTCTGTCTATATCTTCTATCCAGCTCCTTCCTTCCTTCCTTCCTTCCT